CTAGACCAGAGGATGTACACTGGTGCAGATGGGAACTGGAAGCACAGGGAATCCAGGGCGGATGATCCCTTCAGGACCAGTGGTGTGAGTGGCGATACTAGGAGGGTAGAGGGAGAGTGGGTTGGAAAGAGGGAACCGATTACAAGGATCTATAGGTGACCTCCTCCCTGAGGGCTGGACAACAGAAAAGTGGGTGAAAGGAGACGTCAGACAGGGCAAGATATGACAAAATAATAATTTATAAATTATCAAGGGCTCATGAGGGAGGGGTGGGAATGAGGACCTGATGCTGGGGGCTTAAGTGGAGAGTAAATGTTTTGAGAATGACGAGGACAATGAATGTACAAATGTGCTTTACACAATTGATGTATGTATGGATTGTGATAAGAGTCATATGAGCCCCTAATAAAACTATTAAAAAAAAAAAGAATGAAAGTAAGATGGAATACATAGTCAGTGTACCAAAAAGTTGCCATTCAATCATTCTAAAAGGGAGTCCATGATTAAGAACCAATGGTATTGAAGAAGTACAAGCTGCAATTAATACATTGGTGAAAAAAAAGGTTTTTGATTTTAATAGTTTTATTGGCATATAATTCACACATCACACAATTTAATAGTTTAATCATATTAAGAAGAGCAGTCAAGTTTAGAACATTTTCTTCTTTCTTGTACTCAGTGCTGTTAGCTCCCATTTTCTCCCAAACTCCCTTGCTATGTCCCTAGGTAATTCATAATCCAGTTACTGCCTTTATAGAATTACCTATCCTGGATTTCATATTTTAAAAAAAAAATCACACAGAAGAAAAACAACAGACAAAAAAATGAAACAATAATGACAAAACAAAACAGAAAAACCTCAACTGAAAAGAAAGCAGAAAATATTGAAAACTGAAACAAATTTAAAATGGGTCACAAAAGGGAGATGAGATAATAAGGTGTTATATTTTAACCTAGCTACATCATCCATAATAGACTTTACAGTGGTTTGTCTCATAGCAAGGTTATTTACATCCCTGGACGATGATCAGATGGGATTCATTCGAAGCTTAATCAATGTGGGGATCCTGAAAATGGATTTTGGCTTCCACTGTCATCCACAGCCTTCTGCCAATGGGTATTTCAAATTTAAGCTCTAATACAGTTCCCTCCTTTGACTTTAGATTTTATTTTTTACAATATTTGAATCACACAGGATGGTGTGCTTCTTCCATGTGGACTGACACTTCAAAGAAAACAAAACTTAGATGTTTCTACAAATAGGATCATTAATATCACACATAAGTAAACCTTTCCTAAAGATAATGAAGAATAGTTTGCAGCAGTTCATTGGTAGGAAACTGCCAGAAATTCAAGCTATATTCAGAAGAGGTCATGAAACAAGAAATATTATTACTGATGTCAGATGGAACTTGGCTGAAAGCAGAGAATACCAGAAAGATGTTTCGCATAACAATCCCAACAAACTAAAGCTTTTTACTATCTTATGGATTTGACTCATCTTTCCTCTGAGAAGCAGCTGGTAGGCTGGAAACACCAACTTTGCAGTTAGCAGGCCAATGTTTAACAAATTGCACTGTCTGGTTGCCTCGATTACAAGTTTTAAACAACGATTTTTATTGTAAATTAGGTTTTTAATTTCAGATCATTAGCTTTGTATTCAACAGTTTAAACTACCAATCAAACCATCCAATAGTTTTTCCTTCACCCACTCCTTTACTTATCTTCCCACCCCTCTGCTGTCTGTCCCCCAGAGAGGAGGTTATATGTAGATCCCTGTGATCAATTCCCACTTTCTACACCCCCCTTCCCTCCTGGTATCGCCACTGTCACCCCTGGTCCT